CAGTTGTAGTTTAGTTCTTTTAGACCATTTTCTGACCTTTCTCTGAGTTTTTAAATTAAACAGGCAGTTTTGCTACTGTACTTTTAAGACTAAATGTAAACGAGCTCTGTTGTGATTGGTCACTTATGAGCTCGCCTTGATGTGTTCTTGAGAAAAGTAGAAAAGTCTGATTCATGAATGAATCATTCATTTAGATCTTGTCAATCAGAGAGGCCAGTTTTGTCAATGAATCAGTTGATTCAGTTCACAAACCCATCTGAATGATTCATTCACAAATCTGAGTGACTCACATTACTCACACAATTACTCACAGAAAACTATTGTATGGTTTCAAATGACTTTGAATACTGCAAATAAGTTGTTTGGACCATTTTTAACGACAGTTGCATGGCGCGTTTGTATTCTTAATTAAAGCTACAAAGCTTCACTTCCTGTTCATTGTAATTCCCTGGAAAAATAGTCATTTAATTGAATTTATCCTTAAGAATTTATTTTTTCATGTGTTCTGCTGAAGAAAGGAAGCCATAAAGGTGTGCTATGAGATTTGGGTGGAATGAGAATTAAATTTTGGGGGTGTACTGTCCCTTTAAGGCAATTTTTTATATGAATGATTTATTTTCTTCACTTTTATAGTTTTTTTTTTCTCTAGAAATTTGGTGACACAAGAAATAACATACTTAGCATTCCACTTATAATGTCAAGGTTTCTTGCACAAAAATGTTGTAATTTAGTTCTTTCAGATCATTTTCCAATGTTTTATTGAGTTTTTAAATGAAACAGGCTGTTGTGCTACTGTACCTTTAAGACTATATGTAAATGAGCTCTGTTGTGATTGGCTAGCCATTCATGAGCTCCCCCTGGTGTGTTCTTGAGAAACGTAGAAAAGTCTGATTCATGACTAAATCATTATTTTAGATCTTGTCAATCAGAGTCTGATTTTGTCAATTAATCATTTGATTCAGTTCACAAACCCATCTGAATGATTCATTCACAAATCTGAGTGACAGCGCTTAATGGCTTAAATTACTCACACAAAACTACTGTATGGCTTCAGACATCTTAGAATATTGCAATTAAGTTGTATGAAAAATGTTTACAGTTGTATGGCGCATATGCATTTTTAATTGAAGGTTCAAAACTTCACTTTCTGTTCATTGTAATTTCCTGGAAAATAGTAATTTAATTTCTTCTTAAGAATTTATTTTTCCATGTGTTCCGCAGAAGAAAGGAAGTCATAAAGGCTTGCAATGAGATTTGGATGAAATGAGATTTTAATTTTTTGGGTGTACTGTCCCTTTAAGTGATTTTTCGATATGAATGAACTAGAAAGTAATCCGTTTTTTTTTTCTTTCACTTCTATAGTATTTTTCACTGACAAGAAATAACATACTTAGCATTCAATTTATAATGTCAACGTTTCTTGCACCAAAAATGTTGTAATTTAGTTCTTTATGACTATTTCCCAACCTTTCTCTGAGTTTTTAAATTAAATAGGCTGTTTTGCAACTGTACCTTTAAAAGTATATGTAAATGAGCTCTGTTATGATAGGCTAACTGTTTATGAGCCCGTCTTGGTGTGTTTGTGAGAAAAGTAGCAAGGGCTGATTCATGAATAAATCATTCTTTTAGATCCTATCAACCAGAAAGTCAGATTTTGTCAATGAATCAGTTGATTCAGTTCGCAAACCCAACTGAATGATTCATTTGTAAACCTGGATGACTCACTGATCTTTACAGAGCGTATAATGACTTACATTTCTTACACAAAACTATTGTATGGCTTTAGATCTCTTAGAAAATAGTGAATAAGTTCTATGAACCGTTTTTACAATACTTTCATTGCACATCTGCATCCTTTATTGAAGCTTTAAAGCTTCACTTCCTGTTCATTTTAATTTCCCGCAAAATAGTGACTTAATTTATTTTATAGACTTCTTATTTTGTGTGTTTTGAAGAAGAAAGTAAGTTATACAGGTTTAGAAATTAGATTGTATGAAATGATATTTACATTTTTGGGTGCACTGTCCCTTTAAGGCCTTTTTTAGCATGAATCAACTGGAAAATAGAAGCACTTTTTATTTTCTTCACTTTTTCTCTCTAGAACTGTCCCTTTAATAGCAGGAATAAATTAGAAAGTAGAATCACTTTTGTTTCTTCAGTTTTACAGCTTTCTTCTGTCTTTTTGCGTTTTTTTTTTCAGCATCTCTCATTGGTTTCTCTGCCTCTCTCTAACATACAAATATAGAGTTTATATTTGTACTATTATATTATACAATAGTGTTGTCAAAAGACCCGGTATTTCCGTACCAAGTCAGTATTAAAAAAATGAAAACGTTACGGTACTAGGTTTTCTTAAGTGCCGGTGGTACCGATTACCCGGTCAACCCGGTTCTTGATGCTCTATCCGAAAGCTATCCTCTTCATAAAAGCACTGAGACGTGGCGACCTCAAGAGGAGGAAACACATCAAACTAACAAAACACCTTAAAGACGACACCCCGATCAAATGAAAGAGTTTAAGCAGGTAAATTTCAATTAATTTTTTAATATTTAGAGCTTCTGTTATGAATATTATTCCATATTTTAATTTGAATGTCGGATTGAAATAAACATCGCCGTTAGAGTATATGTAGCTAATCGTTAGCATAAGCGCGGCTAACGCTAATATAATGAGTGTTGAAGTTTCTTTGAAGTTTCTTTGTTAACTAATGAAGTTTCTTTGTTAACTATTTAATGCTCCTACAACTTTTATTAGTGTAAAAAAACAGGAGGACATAATGGTATTTACTATTTTGAAATGAACTGTGTATCCAAAATATGCGTGTTAGAGAATGTACAAATGTATGGTTAACAGTGTTTGTCATATCAGTCCGTCAGAAAAACAGTTCTGGGCTTTTTTTTTTTAATTTTTTTTTTTAGTTAGTTAGTTGTAATTCTTGGCTGAATATCTCTAGCAGGTTTTAAAAGCCCTTTAAAATTAAATATGAACACAGTTTGGATTAAATAAAAGTACAGTCGAATTGTATCTCCTGTATAGACTTTACAATGACTTGAATCAGCTACAATGACAATGAGTTAGATCTAGTAACATCTTACAGTGAGTGAACAATATATTTTTACAACATTCATTAATGTTTGTGAATGTTATTTAATACAAACACTTGATCATTCATGTTTGTTCATTGTGCATTAAATAATTTTAACAGACTGAACTTGTGATTTATGTATTAGTAAATTTTGAAATGAACCCTGAGAAGAATAATTGCTATAATTTTTTATTTATTGATAGGTCATGTTATCTAAGAAATGGAATCTTATTGTAAAGGGTTTTTAACACTACAGTTTCCATCTATTTGATATACACTTAATATATGTAATCTTTTTACAGATGTTTTTCAGCGGCAGCAGAAATCTGACAAAAACTTTTGGGTCAAACTTGTTTACTTTTTTTCATACTTTTATTACTTGTGGAAAAACTTGAAACAATTTTAAATAAGTATAAAGAATGGCATTGATTTTGTACATTTAATTTTTATTTAACATTATTAATAAAAATAATGTTGTTCAATTAGCATATTTTTGTGTTTTGCTTTGGTACCGAAATTGGTACCGAGAACCGTGGATTTTCACTGGTATTGGTACCGAATACTGAAATTTTGGTACCATGACAACACTAACCCCTATAACACTACTGTTGAGTGGTATATTTTATTTTACTAGTGCTGTCAAACGATTAATCACAATTAATCGCATCCAAAATAAACGTTTTTGTTTACATAATATATGTATTATGTATACATAAAGACACACACATACAGTATACATTTTGAAAATATTTCATTATATTACATATATATTATTACATAAATATTACATGTACTGTATATATTTATATTCATATATATATATATATATATATATATAAGGGCTGTCAGTCGATTAAAATATTTAATTGTGATTAATCGCACGATTGTCATGAGTTAACTAGTGATTAATCGCAACTTAATCACACATTTTTTATCTGTTCTAAATGTACCTTTAATTAATACTTTTCAAGTTTTTAATACTCTAATCAACATGGGCATGGACAAATATGGATGCTTTATGCAAATGCATGTCTATTATTAGTGAAACCATAGTCAACATAGAGCATGAAGACTAGACATGCTTCACAGGTCATAGATGGTTTTCAAAGAACTTGTTCATGTCTATTAGACACATGAAAAAAAGAACATAGAAATACCAGGTTCCCATTACTTCTCTTTGCACTGAGCAATTTACTTACACAAGCTTGTTTATATTTTCACACGACAGGGCAGCTCACTTCTTCTGAACATGCTGTACATTTATTATTTATTATTACCTTTGTTTGTGCCCACATACTGTATTTTGATGTAGCCAAATTCTCAATAAAACTGTTTTCATTTTTATATTTTACTGTTTCTGTTGTCAGACAAGTTCGTAATGAATATGAAATAGTGACTGAAACGCAGTACCGGCGAGTTTCAAAATAAGGTTTATTCAAGAAGTCGCTAGATGTGTCACTGGGCGCTTTTTTGGAAAAAAGTCGCTAAATCTAGTTGGCAACACTGTGCATCTCCATTTCTCCAACTACGGGTTAGGCCACGGGTCAAACAGAAAATGTGTGCTGCATTAATTGCGCGTTAATAAAATTAGTGCCGTTAAAATGAATTTGCGTTAATGAGTTAACGCGTTAATTTTGACAGCCCTAATATAAATATATTTAATATATAAACATAACATATTTTTCTTAAATATATACATGTATGTGTTTGTATTTATATATACATAATAAATATACACAGTACACACACATACATTATGTAAACAAAAACTTTTATTCTGGATGCGATTAATCACAATTAATCATTTGACACCACTAATTTTCACACTTATTTTATATTTACATTTAGATATATTGCATAATATTATATAATAAATTAGTGCTGAACTGCTAATGTCACTTTACTGAATACACACTTGCAGGCGACATCTCCAGTCTCTTCGTCTACGATACACGGGGCCCCTCGGCAGCGAAGACACCGGTCCGTCTCACATTTCGGCCCCTCGTAGCGGGTGGGACACACGCACTCCACGTGTCCAAAGCCGGACAGTGTGCAGCCTTTGGAGTTCACACAATAATGGTGACAAATATCTGCCATCAGACAGAAAGAAAGACAATTATGACTGATCTGAAGCAATGTATGCTAACTTCCTGTCATATTTGACCTCTTCTGCAAATAAACTAAATGGTTTTGTCTAATTTCAAGTGTTTTAAGAGTCAAAATAGTGCTGCTCGCAGAGTATGACATTAGCGTGTTACTAAGCTAACAGTGTGATACTCTGCATAAGCAGCCTATTGGCAGCCTATGATGCCTGTAGTAGATATCAGAATTGAGCCAATGAACGCAAAAAAAGTTTTATAATGAAACAGGTACTCACGGTGTAGACAGCGTTCTCCGGTGTATTCTGCCAGACAGTGGCACACGGGTTGGTTCCCCAGGGTCATGTCACATGTGCCTCCGTTCAGACAGTAACCGTCACAAACACGCTTCTCACACAGAGGACCAGTGAAACCCAGAGCGCAGCGACACGTGGGGTTTCCTGTTGAAAAAACACCTTATTTTAGTGACTTTAAACATGGCTCGATCATTTTAAGCAATACTCTTAATTAGGGTTAATTTAATTTAATTTAATTTAATTTAATTTAATTTAATTTAATTTAATTTAATTTAATTTAATTTAATTTAATTTAATTTAATTTAATTTAATTTAATTTAATTTAATTTGATTTGATTTGATTTGATTTGATTTGATTTGATTTGACCTGAATATTTTTGACTTAAGAGTACATGATAAACTGAGCAGGTTATAACTGAGTACTAAAATGAAACCCCAAAATATCACAAGTCTCTTGCAAGCTGTGTTGTTACTGTTAAGTAGAACTATTAAAAAAATATTTTAGTTAATTAAAACAAAACTGAAAGAAAACACTCGGTGGAAATCTTAATACATATAAAATAAAATACTAAAATAACTAAAATATAAAACAAACTGCATAATGAAAAATAAATTGATGCTAAATAGAAATATATATTTAAAAATATCCAAGACACAATACAAATAACAAAAGCACACAACAATTACTAAAACCTAAAATATAATTAAAAAGAAAAATACATTAAAGCTAAATTTAAAAAGTTAAACAAACAACAAAAGCAACAATTACTACAACAAACTAAAATTAAAATGAAACTGAAAATATAAAATAAAAATAAATGCAAAATTAAAAATAGTAATAAAAATTAAACATGCATTATGAAAAAGTAAATTAAAACTAAGTATAATTAAAAAAAATCCAAGACACAATAAAAATAACAAAAGTACATAATTACTAAAACTTAAAATTAAATTAAATTAAAGCTAAATAAAATATTTAAAAGTTATAAAAACAACAAAAACCACAATTACTAAAAAAAAACTAAAATAAAAATAACACTGAACATATAAAATAAACATAAAATAAAAATAAATGCAAAGTTAAAATAGTAATAAAAATAAAGTGCACGATGAAAAATAAATTAAACCTAAATATAATTTTAAAAATCCAATACACAATAAAAATAACAAAAGCGCATAAAATTACTAAAACTTCAACTTAAATCAAAAATAAAAATAAATTAAAGCCAAATAGAAATATTAAAAACGTTATAAAAATAAAACCAACACAATTACTTACTGAAAATATAAAATAAAAAAAATAAAAATAAATTCTTATAATAGTATATAAATAATACTACAATAATTTATTTAAAAGAAAAAGAGAAATTTTACTGACTCTAAACTTTTAAATGGTAATGTATGTGCGATATAATTAACTTATTTAGTGAAGTTTCAGTCAACAACATTCTTGCAACATAACTTTACTTACAACATAACATTACTTACTGACATAACAAAAAAAAAAATAAAGCAATAACATCCTTGATAGTACAGTACTTAATTTACAGGCTAATAGTGCAAATCACAGTTATCTATGCTAGTCTTTGCCTTCTTAGCCACCAGAATGTGATTATTTGGGTTACTGTGACAGAGTCACGACGTTCTAGCGGGGATTTGCGTGACAGTACATCTGTTGGGCATTGATTTTACACGTTCAACACACACTCAAAGCCAAGGGATCTTCATCCTACTGTTGGTGGTCCATCTGCCAGCTGGTGCGAATGACAGTTTTAACGCAAAGACGTCAACAGAAACAATTCCTGACTGTTTCTCAGACGTTAACACACTTCAAATGATTTCCATCCAGAATTTGGTTCCTGCCAAAATATCCTTCAGAATAAAAAGGCAAAACAGGGAGTGATTTACATAACACCTTCCTGAAGCTTTCGCACTGATATATTTTTCGAGGTTGCGATAACAAATGGGCAAAGAAACGCCTGGTGTTAGCAAAGCAATAGCAATAGCAAACAGACGGTGAGTGAACATGACGGTGCACTTTTGGGAAACAGGCTGTCAGCAGTTGGCGTACATGCGTCAGGGGAATTTCAATAACGTTCGTTAGCTGGAACAATTACCAACTATTTAATTACCTGTCCAAAACCCTGACGTCCATGTGTATGCATTCTTTCAGTCAGGTATATTAAAGGGATGGTTCACCCTAAAATTAAAATTCTGTCATTAATTACTCATCCTCATGTAGTTCCAAAGCCGTAAGACCTTTGTTCATTTTCAGAACATAAATTAAGATATGTTTTGATAAAATCCGAGAGCTTTCTGACCCTGCATAAACAGCAAGGGTACTACCATGATCAAGACCCACAAAGGTAGAAAGGACATTGTTAAAATAGTCCATGTGACATCAGTGGTTCAACAGCAATTTAATGAAACTACAAGAAGACTTTATTCAACAGTTTCTTCTCTTCAGTGTCAGTCTATGATGCACGTTCGACATGAGGGTGAGTAATTAAAGGGGTCCTATTATGCTTTTTCACTTTTTGCATTTTAGTCAGTGTGTAGTGTGTATGTTTGTGTATGTTGATCTACAAAGTTACAAATCTCAAAGTTCACTCCAAAGGGAGATATTTAGTTTTTTCAAGAACTACAACGAACTGCTCATTTGGACTACAGCGTTGCTTTCCGGGGTTTTGTGATGTCACAAAGCGGCCCATTAGAATATCATTAAAATAATTCCCGCCTATGGAAATTCGAATGGTTGGGAGGGGCGAGGTTGTGGTTAGAACGCTTGGTTGAGTTCATCAGACAAGACGACGACAAAAAAGAAGTGCTGCTGCAGAGTTAGTGCATCAGAGAAAACTAAGAAGAAGAAGAGCTGCTGTAGCGTCAAGTTTTCGCCATGTCGAAGAAACGCTGTTTTTTTTCACCCCCGTGCCTAAACATCTTTGTTTGGCCTTCCTAAAGCGGACGACGTCAGGAAACAGTGGTTGCAATTTATTTTTAACTCTGTTCCTGAGCATTAAGTGGATGTTGACATTGTATCTAAAACGTGATTTAGACAAAAAAAAAACAACAATAACGTTACCACTCTAATATGTCTTGCAATATCCGTGCGTGCAAAGGTTCTACGCGATCCTCTTGTTCAATATTCTCGGGGTCTGAATCCGGCTCAAATTGATATGGCAATATTGACGCCATTCCGTGCGTGCAAAGGTTCTGCGCGATCCTCTTGTTCAATATTCTCGGGGTCTGAATCCGGCTCAAATTGATATGGCAATATTGACGCCATCCTTAACTAAACCGGAGCAGACGGAACTTGCTGCTTTGACAAGGGGCGGGGCAGTACTGAAACACCTTCTGTAGTGAATCGATGCGTTTTGTAAGAAAAATATCCATATTCAAAGCAAAATGCTGTAGTTATGATTATGAATGGGTTATTAATCACTGACTCTCCGAATCGTTCCAAAGCCGCAGATTCGTTCACTAACTAAACACCGCTTGCTTGGAGACACACCAGATGGTACGGATTTCTTTGGAAATATTATTTTGTTGCAAAATAGAACATGACAATATTCTGTTTAAAATGTAGGCTACATTTAAAATGTAAAATGTTCGCTTAATATTACCTTTTTTTGTTGAACTGTTGCAAAAATTAAAGGGTTAGTTCACCCAAAACTCAAAATTAGCCCATAAATTACTTACCCTCAAGTCATCCTAGGTGTATATGACTTTCTTCTTTCAGACGATGGAAATCCAGTCATTATTTACCCACAGTCATCATGTTCCAGACCAATTTCTTTTTTCCGTAGAACAAAAAAGGAGACATTTAGCTGCATGTTCATGCTGCTCTTTTCTGTATGAAAATGCTAAATTTTATTTATATATTTCTATATATGTTTTATATTTTTTTATTTATAAAAAAAATAAAATAACAGTATTTTAGATATATTAAGAACATTCTTTAGTCTAGTAGAAACAGGACAGAAAATTATTTTGGATAATGAGATATAATTATTTATTTATTTTCTGTATGAATATGATATATTTTTATTTATATATTGCTATATATGCTTATATTTATTTATAATAATTTAAAATAACAGTATTTTAGATATATTAAGAACATTCTTTAGTCTAGTAGAAACAGGACAGAAAATTATTTTGGATAATAAGATATATTTATTTCATTATTTATAATATTCTTTTATTTATAATTTAAATTAAAATACCAATACTGATATTTAATAAAATGATATTTATTTACAGTAAGAACTATATACATTTAATTATAATAATACTTTTATATGTTTAATATATATTATATACTTAATATTTTTTTCCCATAATAAAATATTTTTAAATGAAAGTAGATGACCATTTTAAGTTCTAAAAAAAATCAGTGGTTGACATTACTCATACACTATAGTGTGGCTTCAGAAGTAATATAGTGCACAAGTCAATTGAGCCACTTCAATTAATTTTTGGAGCCAACAATTCTTGATCACCTTTTACTTTCATTATATGGAAAAGAGCAGCATGGACATTCTGCTAAAGTTCTCTTTTTGTGTTTCACAGAGAAAATAATGTCATACGTTTTTGGAATGACATCAGAGTGAGTAAATGCTGATAGAACTGTAATTTTTGTGGTTTATTCCTTAAGAAAAAGCTATTACTGAGTCTAACATCTATAAGAACAATGCCCACCTTCAGCAAATCTGGGTTAATTTGGTGCTTGTTATGTGAAATCTCACAATATCCTTGCTTGTTTATCATTTCACACTTTTCAGAGAACTCAGGATAACCTGAAACAACCCAAGGCAGCACAGGTGCTGTATATTTCTGCTGCATTTCTTCACTGAATAGACAGAAAGCAAAAAGACTGAGAAATCCCTCCTGAATCAGATGTCTGCCTGTGGCCTACTTTGAATTCTGAGAGCAGACGAGGGGTGCCAAGAAAACCATGTTTGTACCTGATCGTTTTGTGTATGTTTTTGCACAATACACGATTCTGATCATAAAATATGAATTGTTACATTTTAAAACCAAACGAGATAAAAAAATAAAACCTGAAACAATTCAATATTTATGTGTAGAATAGTTTATATATTTTTACATAAATTAGTAGTCTTTTTTTGTGTCAATTATGCAACAAATAAGAATTTTGCTAAGAAAGTTTTACAGGCTAAATAGCTAGTGTACTTGTTTACCACAAAATGAAGAACATACTTAAGATGAAACATGAGTAGAAAGGAGGCATAGCAATATTCACGATACAAACGATGTCCAGTTGTAGATGGGAAATAGCGCCTACCTAGTGGAGATCCCGTGCAAGTGCCTCCGTTGAGGCAGTAGTCCTTACAGTGGCTGATCTCACATCGTTCCCCGGAGTAATTTGGCCAGCAGAAGCAGCGTGATTCCCCTCGTTCATTGGTGATACACCGACCTCCATTCTCGCAGGCCGGATGACAAAGATCTCCTAAAACATAAATCCTTCATTAAGGCTAATTATAATTAGTAAGGACATTTTTACAAGTATTTAGTTGCTTATAAAATCAGTATACAGGGAATATATATAATTTTTATATAAATGATATAAATAATATTGCATATTAATATAATATTCTTATAAGAAATAATGTATATTAATAAAAAAATTTAAAAC